TTTTGCTGTGCTAATGCATGCACCGTAAATTTCTCTGTCATACCTTGACTTGCTGTTCCATTTCTGTGATTCCCTGTGCTCTGCAGCACCAGGAGGCAGGGCTAGTCCTGACAGTCATCAAACAAACAAACAAACTTGGTTTCCACTTCTGGGAAAACTGCCAGGTATATACTACTTCAAAAGCTGAAATATATTCTAAGAACTTTGATCAACAGTCTTAAAACATTAGGCTACTTTTCCTTCATTTTCAGTGCGTGGAAACCAAAAAGGTCAAATGTGACTTGAAATACATGTCAATTAAGGTGGATGTGGAATGCCTGGGTACTTGAAAGGCTGGACTTTAAGACTTTCTTCACTGTTAACGATGAAATTTTTATAACTGTGTTTGCATTAAGAATACAGAGGCATTATAGCATGTGTTCTCTTAACAGTATTTCAAAAGTCAGTATGTATAGCTGTATTCTCACATCAGGTTTCCCAGTTTGACAAAAGATTTTTTTCAACTCATGAAGAAGACACCATGCTGTCCATATATGGGTAATAGTTTCTATAGCAGAAAAGCTTTCTTGTTTAATTTTTATTTAATAATTTAATAAATTTCTAAGAATATATTTGGTGGTTGGTGGGAAATAGGGTTAAAGAGTTGTGGCTCTCCCAAATGGCTTTATCCTGGTAGTGTTCTGATTGTCTTGAAGTATCCAACACACGCTCTTGTTTTTCCATTGAATGTTATTGCCCAGTGCATGTCAGGAGGGGCTGTGTTCTGTGATCTGTAAAAGCACTTTCCATATGAAGGCTGGATGTATGTAGGAGACTATTATCTGAATGGAAAGTGAGATCTGGTGAATCTGTAAAGGAAAAATATTCCTAAGCATACAATGAAATATTACTTGGAGTTCAAAAGGCTTGTGGCAGCACTGAGCATTTGGTACAGCCATTTCAGCTTGCATACCTGACATCTAAAGCTCTTCCATTTAGACAGAAGACCATCTTAGTCGTTACTATGCTTCTGTGACCTTCCCTAAGATTCCCAGAAATATTTTTGTTAAAGATGGTCACAATACTTAATTTCACTATAAAATTTGGTTTCATAGATGTCTTTTGGTGAAAAGTGATTGCTTTTTCAGAGGAGGTCTTGTGGGTCTGCTCTGTGATGGTGCTGCTTGCTCTTAATTTCAGTCCTGTTTTCTTTTATTCAAATTAAAATACTGCCATTTTTTCTAATGCCTCATTAATGGAAGCTCAGCATGGACAGAACAGGAGGAATGCTTCTTTCTGTTGTGAGGGAGAGGTCTATTCTCTCTCTTTTAGACCTGTGCATGGATACCACTTTCCACTTTTCCACATTGGGCCAATGTCTCTAAATGCTGTATTTTGTGTTAAGTAACATAACTGAGATCTGGACTTCCTTCTACTTTCCCATTTTCTGCCCATTCCATCTCGCATCTTAACTACTACATGCCTTCCTCTCTGATCTTGCAAGTCGTGTCTGTTCCACCCCCTCCCCATTTTGTTTTCCTGGCTGGGTTGGGTGTATAGCTGCTCTCTTTATGTGTATTTGGTCAGTGGTTCCCCATGTTTGTCTTTACCTTCAAGGGCTGATGTGACTTAGAATTCTTCAGTTATCCTCTCTTTAAGAGTTACTGGATCTCAGGCCATTATTTGTTCCAAAAGGATTGCCAGTTTTGAGTTCTTACAAAGCTTTCCAACAAGAATGTTTATTTTCTGCTATTAAAATTTTATTTGGCTGAAATATGTACAATATTGATAAATGTTATATTAATGTGTACAAAATGTATGTTAGTGGAACTAAATGTGAGCAGAAGCAAGTGGCAGTAAGATGCTGTGGGAGAAAGGACAAGCAGATGGTGACAGAAACCACTCCTTCTGAATTTGTAGTTGCTGCTGAGTCCAGATGACATGAAGAACTGGTATTCTTGATTTGGTTTCCAGTAGGATATGTAGCAGAGTGAAAACTGTTTAATTGGCAGTTTCTTTCTAGTGATTTAACCAGCAGAATACACAAAATACCATGTTGGGTCTTTTCTTCTCGTTGTACCCTTTGTGCTTCATCCTCCCATGTACGGTTTGCCTTCCTGGAATTAGAGAAGTGGTATTTCTAATAATTAGGCTCTCTCTTTTCCCATGGAACTATGTTTCTGAGATGCTGTTGAAATATTACCTAAATAAAACCAGAATTAAAACCGAAATCTTTATTACTTCACTTTCATAAATGTCTAAACTACACTTTGACTCAAAGAAATGTCAGGAAAAATCAACCACAGATAAACTATGAACATAGCAGTGTAAGTTTGAAGAGCTTCTAAGTAAGTTTCTTAACATGTTAAGTCTGAGGTCCAAACTATACTGAAAGATCAAGCCTGAGGAAGAAGCAGTACGTCTACTGCCACGCTAGGTAATCCTTAAAACAGAACCATCAATAACACCTTGAGGTATGGTCTGGCATTCTGAGCAATGAGTGCTCCAGTGGTCACTTCCAAGGGGGAAGTAAGCAACTGCTAGATACTGGAATAAACGCTCACAAAACATCGTTAAAGGGCAAAAGAGTTCTAAGTACCTGAACTGAATGACTGTAAGACTGTATGAGTTCAGTTTTTAAGCTATTTTTTTAGGTAAACCTTAGCTACTCAAAATTTAAAATACTATGTGAAACTGCTTATTTCAACAAAATTCCAGATTCATTACTTTTTTGGCTTACATTGTTCCACCTTTCTTTCCCTTTCATTCCAAAATTGGAGACTCCTGTGTTAGAGATTCAGACAATGAATCTTTTTATCTAGCACTTACATTCATTATTTATTGTGCATTGTCAGTGCATTGCTACTTCAAGCCTGAATTACAGATAATTAATCTTAGGAAAGCACTTGTAATTTCACACTTTATGAAGCGCTATTGTCTCAGCACAGCAGTGCTGTGATGGCAAAATACTCTAATGCTCGTTGCTATTCAATATCATATCTCTTAATATTTATGTGCATTCAAGTCTTTATTTTGCTTACTTGTCTGTAGGTTTATGTTACAGCAATCATGATTGTGTTTTGCTTTGGAAACACTTTTTGGTATTTTTGTTTTATACAGAATTTCAAACAGAAATAGGTTGAATTGTCATTTAAGTGGTGAGGTTAGAAAGAACTTTATCCTTTTCAATACTGAAAAGGAAAACTTGGAAAAGTGATGGATTTTAGAGCAAGAGGAATCAAGTAGATTCCCAACTTGGCACGTTACTTCAGATGATGGGTTAAATTTGTAGCTGCTAATTCATCAAATAGTCTACGCTTAGCTTCTAAGGCCTGTTGTTTTCCACCTGGTGGTTAATTGTTTCTAACCTTCTTGCTATGCACACAGTTTTCTAGGAGCTCTGGTTGTGTGTGTGAGCATATACGTAAGAACTTTACTCAGGAAGTTGATTTCATGTGTTGCAATCTTTGTTTAGTTTACACGTCTGCATAGGGAACAGTTCCTGCTCTGTATCTTAGAATAGCTTAGAAACTATAAAAATACTGGTACCTCTTGACAGTACTTACAACTGATACCTCTAGAATGCTGAAAGAATAAAACTAATCTATGCTCACATGAAGGTGCGGGAGAAGTGATTCAATGCAAAGTTACTAGAGATCCCTTAGTTGCTTAGCACACAGAGGGGAATATTTTGGAGTATCAACGTATGCTTGTCCTTCAACTCTTCCTACTGCAGTCAATAGCATATAGAGGAGGTAAAGAACTGAGAGCTAAAAACAGTTTTGTTTCATTTAGCATTCTTGCTACGTGGAAAAAAATTT